GAGCCCTCGTGTGGAAAAAAGCGTGCGCAGTCACACAGATTCGGCTTGGGGGGGGGATACCATGGAGGGGGGGGGGGGTCGGTGAACCGAGAACCGGGATCATATATATATATATATATGTAGCTGTTGTTTTAGAAGGTGTTCTAACAGGTGTTCTATAGGCTATAGGCTATTCAACAAGGTGCATACAAGGTGCATGGGGTCTTCTCCAAGGTAGTACCGTATTTTATGTGAAACTTCTGTCAGGTTTGTAGGAAGGGTGTTCCGTAAGGTACTCTACAGGCTATGCTCCTTTATTCCTCATTCTCTCGCCGGTGTGGAACGGCTTGGGCCTTGAGCTTGCGTGTAGAATGGCTGGATGTTTTGGCCAATTTGTCTGCATGAGATCGTCCCACCCCGTGGAACGGCTGGGGTCTTGAGTTCAGTCGCCCTCCCCATGCCCCCTCTCTCCCGAACAGGGCAACTCCACACAGGCGCCCAAGGCTGGGGGGGAGGCCGCAGAGCGCACGGCGCACAACCATATAGCTCTCTTCTCTTCTCTGGGACTCTGGCGCCTGACATTCCCCACTGCACCCTGCCAGAAATTTGGAGCGCTAGCAAAGTCGCCGAAGAGCAGCTTGTGCACCTCGTGGCAGGCTTTAGATGGTCTTCGGACCTGCCCGACCTTTGCTCGCCTGTTTTCTGAGAGCTGCCTCACGAACACTGAGTGACCACGCCTCGCAGTTCGAGTTCAGGAACTGCAAGAACGAGCTCGGCTGGTTGTGAACCAGAAGTGCCTGCCAGAGTCGGCCATGCGTCCAGCATTCTCTGCAGGAAAGCGACAAGAACCCTACCATCCTGCCTTCTTGAGCTCGAAAAGGATTCTGCCAGGATGGCGTTCAAACCGAGTTGCTAGCACCTGCCACAACACGTAGCTTTGAATTATACTTTCTCAAGACATGCCCCAACATCTTATCCCAGAATCTGCCTTGGACCCTACTGTACTGTACTCGATGGACCTATGTGGCAAAATAGCTGCACAGCGCAGCACCATCCACCATCCCAGAAGCTTGGTCAGGCTTGTCCCTGGTTGTGCTACCTAAGGGACTCTGGACGAGAAATGCTCCACAAGCTCCACTGCAGCTCCCGGCATGCAACCAAAGCTTCTTGCTGTGTAGCTGCCCTTCCAAACAGTCACGTCTGCGAATCAAACGCCTTTCACGGCCCCCCCGAAACCAAACAAGATGTATGGCCTCCTCTCCGGCTGGCAGTGCTTCATGAAGGTCATCCTAGCACACTCCAACAAGACTTGGGCAGCAAATGCCAGGCTTCGGGCTTCTAGTGGCTAGGCCCGCAAAAGTCGAGAGGTGGCTCCTGCGATGTAAAGACGTCACGCATGCAACAACTAGAGCGCCGTTTTGCTCGATGGCACAACTTCGGCCACTTGCGTGTGCTACGGGCAATGGTGCGGTAAGGTTCTCGGCCGCAGCCCTAGGTTTTTGAGATTGTGACAACAGGACCTGCACAAAGGCCTGCGAAAAACCCTAACCCTAACCAGCCGACTGACAGCATGCAAATGCAGAAACAGGGTTTGGCTGCCAAGATATGCACTGAGTTCACCGAAGTCTGAGGCAATATAGCCCCCTGTACTAGCCATTGGGCGTCCAACCACCCCCAGAAGGCCATCTGGCCCGAAGATTCACTCATTATCGCACCTGTGAATATAACAGGGGCGGGCGGGCGGGTGCTCTAATGGCTGCCAGTGCCGCGGCAGCTCAACCTGAAGCAAACAATCAGTGGCCTGGACACACGCACTGACACACGCAAGACATGTGGTGCGCGCTGGCCATGAGCCCGACCTACCCCAGCGCAAACCTACCGTCATTAGAGCTGTCAAAGTTGGCTCGGTGAAGGTGAGCAGACTGAGAAAACCCCGAAATGGTCAGGCACAAGAGCTGAAAAGGGCATAGGCAAACTCAGGTGATCCAAGAACCCGGGTGGATCGCCTGGGCCAGCTTTTCACGGGTTGTCTGACGCAAGACGCCTATTAGCGTGCGACATCCTTTCCGCCCTCAAGTTCCGTTTCCTGCAGCATTGGGATCATGCGTCTTTGTCGTTTGATAGGGCTCGCAGGACTCATGCGTTACAGCCGGGGTGGGCCATCCCAAACCCAAAGGGCACCTCCAGTTGGAAGCCAAGCCTGGCGGCGAACCGCAAGGCGCGAAGTAGCCGCACCTAGTGGTAGCTGGCTTTGGGTTTCAGGGTAGGCCCAAGGTGCTGTTTTGATTGAGTCGGACTTCAGGTCACGGCTTCGGAGAGTTGCACGTGAAGGGTGTCTTGACGGTCACACTCGGACATTTGATGAGATACTCCACACTTTCTCGTTGTGCTTGGCAGCTGGGGGGCTGGATCTTCTCGGAAAGAAGCCAATGCACCGCCTCCAAAGCACGAGAAAGGGGCCAAGAATACAGGAAGGATCGAAGCCCATGGGTTCAATGTCTGGCGCATGCGAACAGAAACATACATGAATGCATTCCACGATTGTTAACGGCTCCCCAGAGACGTCATGTCAGAGTCATGTCCTCGCGATACCACCCTACGTCAATCACTCCCCGGTCCGGAACCTGCGTGTGGCGTCCGTACGATACCCGCAGACAGATCTGACCTCGCTGTTTTGGCAGCTGATCGGAGCAGACCCTCTACTGCTCTACTGCTACCAGCACTCGCCCGAACTGACTCTGCGTTTAGCACTCCCCCAAACTGACTCTGCTTTTGACGACCTGCAGAAGCCGTCAACGGTTCCTGCAGATCATGGTCAAAGAGTGGAATACAGTGACATTCCTTCGAAACGAGCAACAAGATCACGGTGCTCGGGGGTCTGGCCGATGTAGAAATTGACTGAAACTGTCCGAATTCACTCCCACCCCCCCCCCCCCTTAAATTACCAGGGCATCTGCACACCCTGTCCGCAGGGATCGAGCACCTCTTCTCCACCAGCCTGGGGATGTGGAGCGTCACCGGTTAGCATTAGTAAAACAAAAGCAGAAGGAAATCGCAAAGCTCCACAAGCAGGACTCACTGCCAATTCGCCTCGAGGTACAAGGCGTTAAAACTCACGTCCCTGTGTTGACAGTCCCGCGCAATGGAGTCCTCTTCACCTTTGCTCAAGGTGCGACACGGTTATTGGGACAGTCTGCTCTCCCACAAACGACATTCAAAGTTTAGCCGTAAAGTTTAGCCCGAATTCCCACCCTTTGCACATTTCGCAAACCTCAACATGTCCAGCAACTGCACGTTGAAGGCACCTTCTTCGGCTGGGCCACTTTGAGCTCCGCCGGACCTTCGCAAAGGGCAGGCGGACAGAAAGGCATCTACATGCGACTCGCACTTTGGAACACTCCTCAGATCATGACGACCACCAGTTGAACAGCATTCTCCCGTCTCCGATCCGAAGTCTTCTGTTCATCTCACGACAATGCATCGGCCTCGCATCCGCAAGGCTGGTGACATCCACAATCGCCTCAGCATCTGCTTGGGAGGCTTCGAGGCCCCTTTCTGGCGTGAGAGCTCGTGGCTTCCAAACCTCTCTGGGAGTCTTGTCTATCGGTAATAATAATAATAATTATTATTATTATTATAAGGTCAGCCGAAAGCTCAAGGCTCAGCTTCGAAGCTCGACTGAACCCGCCATCCTCCGCCCGCTCCTCGGCCAGGGTGAGCTTCACCGTGTTGGGTCGCCCTCCCTGGCGGCTGAGCGATTTCTCTGTTTCTCTTTGCAGGCCTCAGACCTTGTTGGCACCGGCTCCGGTCTCTGGCAGCCCACTAAGGATCTGTGGCGGTCTCAACACTACCATAGAACCAGCATGCGGCCGGCTGTGGTTCTAGACAGATTTCTGCTCTTGGAAGCCCATGGCTTCTGCTGCTCTGTCTAAGCATGCCCACATTGCGATCCTTGGCTTCCACCAAAAGGGGTGGGCGCCGAAGCAGCGATCGAAATGCCTCGTCACGCGAACAGCGTCCCTGGGCGGCGGGAGCGCTTACTACCATTACGAATGCTATTTCAATGTAATACTATATATCATGGCAGGATTGCCGACAGATCCTGTGACAAACCCATATTTCGAGCGGCGATCCTAGCAGATGTACGTAGAATGTGTGGTGTCTTGGGTTGCATGTCTGCGGCGTGTGTGAGGCGAGACCAGTAATTGGCAACAACGGAGCAACAGGAGGCATGCAGTCCTTCGGAAGTACCCTGAGAGTGACCTTTTGTCCCATGTCCGATAACCTAGGCATGCTTCAGACATGTGTGCACCGGATACTGTGCCAAACCTCTCATCACAAAGGATTTCTGTGCACGCTGGGAATCCGTAGTGGCCAAGGCCAAAACCCCCTGTCACGATTCTATTCATGAAAGTATACAGGCTGTCACTTGGTGCTTGCATCCGCCGAGGCATCATGATTGCATCCGAGCGTCGTAGAACTCAACCGAGGTCCTTAAGGCAAACTCTTGGCATCAAGTCCTTGTGACAAACTCAAACCACGAAAACCGCAACTTGATCGGATAAGATCCACGTTGTCACACTGAGAAAGGGCTGGTGATGAGCTGCACTCTGATTGCTCCAAGTCTGCTTGAAAACATGAGATAGGGTTTCGAGTTCAGAGTTTAGGGAAACCTCTCTGTCGCCTTCTGTCCCCCCAGTCGTCTCGTCACATGCTTGGGAGGGTTCTGCTGCTCCGTCGGCTTGAGGAACTTCGACAGCCATCCCCACATCACCGACAAGGGCTCATCTCCAGTCACGCGCTTCTTGCCCGCTTGCACCGCTTTGAGCATTCTGTCTGTTGGGCGCAGGGGGTCGCGCGAGCGACCCTCAGGCCATATTGGCCCGCCCGCAGTCCCTGTCGCGGCTTTGGGGTCTCAGAACATGTATCTTAACATCGGCACGTGTTACTTTGAAAGTTCTGAGTTGTAAGATCAGGGCTCGTCCCAGTGTCCCTGTGGCTTTTTTGTAGACTCCCTGCGAGCAGTCACCCTAGAAAACCACCACGGCTCTCTATAGGAGAGGTCGAGCACCGCCCGCCGCGCAAGAGCGCACGCCATTCGCTCTCTCACTCTCTTTTTGGTGGCCCTTTCGGACCCTCTAAATACGAATGCAAGTGCTTCCCACAGGTCTGTTTCCTTGCTGCAACCTTCCGGATCTCCCCGTCTGCAAGAAAAAGCCCTTCGCTGCCCCGGCACATTCCCGCCACGACGAGGTCGAGATCCCCTTGTTGCTGGCCGCAGAGTTTTGCGAGACCTGGAAGAAGTTGGAGCAGTTTTCGGCTCAAGGTCCAGCTAATCCGCCAACTTCCCCGGAAATCGCAACCTTGCGCCGATGCAGCTTGGATACGTTGACAGTGAGACCTGGCCTCGGCTCCGAACACGCCAAGCCATGCAAGTCGGGACCCGAGGCCCGTTTCGCGATTGTGGCCAGGGCCTGTATTACAGGTGGCATGTGAAAATGTTGATACCAAAGCTGCTCGGCGATTTCAGACATTGGCGCTGTGACGGCGGAAGCAACTCATGTCTCCGACAGGGTGTATAATCGAGGCGGTCGTGTTCATGTAGAGGTGTTGGCTGCGGCGTGATGTGGACGGGCAGGGAAGGCCAGACCCAGAAGCATGAGCAATATAGGCACTATGCACGACGCAGAGCGATAGAAATACATAGGTGCGACCGCCAATGAAAAGCCAAAGTTCCAGGACAGTCCGAATCCGTGTCAGTGGCGCCACCGGTGTTGTAACCACTCATACGACATGTTAGACGACCCAACAAAATCCGACCATGACTGTGACTATGCGAAGCTCCCGCATCACCCTGCCAACTTTCCAGCCAGAAACCTAAGTTCTGAACACAGTCCGGTGGCTGCGAGATTCACATCCAGGCTCGCGAGGATTTTGTCGCGGAGCCATCCGCCCGTGACCCACACCTGGCAGCCGTCGGCATCAACACAACAACAGATGCTAGCGAAAGCCTTCCGGCTTTATGGAGCATAGTATGGCAGCAACAGCCAGCAGCCGTATCGGCAAGGAAACATCACCAGAATCCTGCTGTTATCATCCGCAGAGGTCTCATCCTAATCTGCCACGCAATCATTCCCAGCAATGTACCATGTCCTCCAGACCCCTGATAGCCCAGATACCTTGGCCATGCCCTGCAGCAGCTTGAGCATGCCGTCCTCTTTGGGGCTCAGCAGCTGCCGCGGCAAGAGCAGCACCATGGCTCTCACAGTCTGAGGAGAGGCAAGAGGCAAGCATGTCTTCTGTGGGTCGAACTCAGAAGCCTTGCAAGTTTCATAAGGCTGAGGCTCATGGCCCCACCCATCCACGGGTGCGCAAAAGATCCTAGTGGCCCTCCGTAAACCCTGCATTGCTGTTCGATTGATCATGCTGCGGAGCTAGGGCCGGTTTTCAAAAAAGGTTGCAGGTCGGTTGTTTTACTGGAACTCCTCGTCTGAGCATACAGCGATCCCAAAGCATGGTAGATGCAGAGTCGCGCGTGTGGCCTTGCCTTCCTTTGGCTTCCTTCAGCCCATGCAAAAAGGGAAGCTCACCAAGCAGGCGCCTTCTAAGTGCCCCCAGATCTCAATCCCGTGAATATCTCAAAGTCCCGAGAAACCTGGGAGCATGGACAGGGAAGAGGATGGCCTGATTCGTCCTCGTCTGGTTCTTCAAGGACGCGCTCCAGTGGCTCCTTTCCGGAAACTCCTAAACACCGGAAGAACAAGGAAGTGAGCAGGCTAGCCCTAAGCTGTGACACAAGCAGACCTGTTGACTCCTCACAGGAGCGCGGGGGTCCTCGCGACCAGAAGCTAGGATCCTAAAACTCGAGTCAGTTGTTGCCCCACGAACCCGGCACACAGCCGGAAATCCGATGTCTCTCATTCCAAGTTTGCCTGCATAACGAAGTTGACAGCTTCAAATTACGAAGCAAGACGAACAACACCGCCATGATTCATGACTGGCAGGAGAGCTAGCAGCTAGCACCTTACGAACCCCACGAAAAGTTGGCAGTATCTGGAGCAGAGGCCCTTGCAACCGACGAGTATCTGCTATCGACAGCATGGAAGCCTACAGTCAAGCCAATGAGCTACGATCTGCATACATCTGCGGCTGATGGCAACGAGCATGTGCACAGTCGGCATCAGAATGTCGAGCATTCCGAACCACAAGCCCAACAGAAAGGACTTAGGCGTGTGCTTTGGCTTAGTGCAAAGTAGTTGCAATTCAGCATTGTATATACGATGGAACTTCCGAGCTGCCCCAGCAGGCGCAGACAGCATGGCTGCTTGCCCTGCCGTCATACGGCCGAACCCTGGCGACACCGAGAGGCAAGAACGAGCTCGGGAGGATTCAGCTGCTTGGGCCTTGCGCTTCACAGCGAACTTCGGCGAACACCTGGATCCGAAGATCCTAGCCGAGCAGAATCCTCCTATACACTAAGTTTCTGAAGGTCAGGAGACGACCAACAGCGGGCTAATGCTGGCTCCACAAGCCAGAACGCCACCCGTATTGAAGGGCCGGCTGTCGCACAAAGATGTCTTTGTATTTCCGGCAGGGTTTGGAAGTGATCAAGTGGCTCGTTCTGGACTGAAGCAATGGCACATGACAGCTGCCGGATTAGCGAAGACCTGGCCAACTGTACAAGTGAGAGCGTCCCGATTTATGGGCAATGCTCAGGATATGCGCGTTCCGCCAAAACCAAGTGACGCGAAGAGGCTCAAGCCAAAGGCTCAATTGGGTTGGTATATGCACCCTCAGCAATCTCCCTGCCAATGCAGACTGCCTGAGTCATCCAAAAACAAGCAGCAGCAACCAGGAATTTCTTCAACTGGAGAGCGAGAACACAGGAAATGCCAGTTGGAGTGCTCTGTTGTGGGGATCTTTGTTTACACTGCAGGTCTTGAGGCTTTAGAAGCTCGCAGTCGGATATGCCAGGCAGGGACCTAGCGACAGTCTGACCGGGTGAGAACGTCACAGAGGCCGTCGCATAGCTTACAGCCGACAGACAGCGACAAGGACTCCTCAGGGCAACAGCACTACGACACACACGAACATAGAGAACTCAAGCCATCTACGCCCCAATCACGCATGCCTAAAACGTGACGCGAGGCCTCTGAACCTGCATCTGCATAACTCCTCTACTCCGGAGATTATGACTCGCTCACTTGCAGACATGAGGCAGCTCATCCAGTGTCACGAGGTATTGGGGGGTTCGAGGTCTAGGGTAAGCCAGCATGCCCTGAACGATCGAAATCCGGTCTCGGATGCGACCAATATGGGGCCCAGGTAACTAGTTTCAGCCGATTAATTGAACCCACTAGTGGGTCCTACGCTATGTTCTCTGTATATTAATTAGTGGAAAGGCCTGGTCCGCGAACACACTCACGTAAGCCAGGTACCGCAGTCCAGAATGTGGTCGGATCCACGAACTCGTGGCACTTGAAGTCCTTCACCTGCGGACCGCGCTGTTGCCAGGCAAGTTCTGCCCTCTGAGGGGTTCATCCAGTCGGGCTCCGACGAGTGCAACTATCGCAACGTTGTGTTTCTGGCTGTCACGCACATCTAATTACATGTCTTTGTTCTTTTGATCACCAGGTACAGTACCGCGATCGCCAGATGAATGAGGTCACCTAGACGCTCACAACTAAAGCCAAGCCCGAATGTACGCCTGAGCCCTGACCCGGATGCCAGATCTTCTCCTCCTCCCCTCCGACAAGTCACGCACCAAACGCCGCCCTCATTGTCCATCCGAAGCTGGATCACATAAGGAGCACGACTCCACGCAGAAGACCTGACCGAGGGTCTCTCGCTTCCGATGCTCTAGCACGTACATTCCAGGCCTTGCAGTGAAGACTTGCTACGCCGTGAGTCACATGGCGAGCTCTAGCTCGTGTGCGTGTATATATATATATATGTCCGTATGTATGTATGTATGTATGTATATATATATATGGTCGCCCACCCCCCCCGTTGACAGACCATGCC